GGGGGGGGGGGGGGGGGGGGAATGTGCCCCTCGGGGTTCTGCCGGGACGTATGCAGTGGCGGGACCCCCCCGCACACTTGGATGAGCTGCCCAGGCTCTGACTCACCCCTGGCTGAGGCCCCACTCACCTGGTAGTAGGGGGTGTGGTGGGGGATTCTCCCACTCACCCGGCACAGCCCTGGTGGCAGGGGGCATGGCTCAGCCCAGTCACATGCATCCTGTCACTCTTACATCCCACCACTCCCAGACTGCATCCCAGCCACTCCTGATCACAGAGCCTCTGACAGTCGATCTCAGTTTGGGGTGAGGCTAGCACCCCAGACTGAGATAGACTGTCAGGGGCTGCCTGATCAACCAGGATTGACCGGTTGGTGACCACTGGCCTAGCTAATGGTGAATTAGTTTCTGCATTTACCCCGACATGGTACTTAGTGGTAACTGTGCCCTTGGAACAAGCTTCAGGTCCTGGAATAGGAAAAGGCGCCGACTCGTGTAATACCAAATTCTGGCAGCTAGCTTTTTATCAAGGTGAAAACCCAGTAATCAGAAAGCCCTTCTCCTGGACACTGGAGAGTATTATTTGTTTGGCTCTTACCTCTGGAGTAGCTTCATTAAGGTTACATACTGTTTCCATTCCTCCTAGTTTCCAGTGCCCATCCTCACTTACAAACACGGATGATAAACAGACATTGTTATGCGTTAGGTTTCCCTAAAATATAAAACAAACAATAGACCTGGGGATAGCAGCAGGCATATAATTCTCGTTAGCACTAATTAGGTGCCATGAGGATCTAAGGAAAAGCTGCCAAAAGCATACAATTCAATTTTTATCCTGTAAAGTTTTTTTTGGTTTTTGTTGTTGTTTTTTTTAATAGACAAACCCTGGGCACCACACATGAGGGCCAAGCTTTAAATAAAGCCAGGTTTAACCTTCACAGTCCTTTTAGAATAATTAAGATGAAGGAGAGACCCTAAATTCAAACACAGGAACTGAAAATTATACTGCTGTAGCTCCTGGTATTTGCTACAGTCACTCCTGGCATGTGCTAAAAAGCAGGACTGGACCGAGGGAGAAGTAACACAGCCCCGTATCTCATGCATCACAAGGACAGTTAACAAAATGTGTTAGTTTGTGAATCTGTTTTCCCAACAACATAATTTCACTTGTTCATGGTTCTGACCAGTCATGGGATCTCAGGCTATGAGATCATGGGATTATAATTCTCTTCCTTTCTTTCTGACTCTTTAATTAAGTTGTTTTAAGCAGCCATTGATTCAAAAAACTGTTAAAGAACCAATTCATGCTATGTAAAGGCAGCCTGGAACTGCAGGGGTCAACTGATATGAACCACTCCTTTCTCTTTGTGATATCCACTGCTCCTGCCATGTTACAGGGAATAAAATACAATAGGGGAACATGAAACGAGAGTTAAGGTCTCACATGAATAAGACCACTGACCATATACTGCCCATCACCTTTACTTCCAATCTCCACTGAGAACCAAAGCTCACTCTTGTGTCTACTGCTACTGGAAACTTACCCTTTCATGGAGGAAGACAAGAGCCAGCAATATGTCATAAATCCCTGCGCAGATCTCGGCAGAGGAGAGTATCTTCAGAACTACCTCCAAAGGTTTTACCCTCTCTGTCACCAGGTGTATTCCATCTGTTTCCACAGTGCAAGAGAGGAAGCGTAGAAGGCAAGGGTGGCGCAAGGTTTTCAGGTGCTTCCAAAAAAACAAGGAAGAAACAAAGTCTATACTTGTGACATGATGTATGGACAGGGGGCTTGGTGGGTAGCCTTGGCTTTGACATTAGCTGATACTTCTCGTTAAAAATACATTAAGGAGGTGTGGGTAAACACTCCACTTGCTGCAGCGAATTCTAACTTCTAGGCCTGAACCTCAACTACTCAGTATCCAGGATTCACGCTCTTCCGTTTGCTGGTCTATTTGTGCTTTTATCATACCATAGAAACTTTCTACTCATATAAAGAAAACTAAACCAAAACCCATATTTGAGGGACTGGTCTACGTGTCCCACTCCCTATAAAGAAGATCTTCAACAATTCTGGGAATCGGCCTTTTTCCCTTCCTCCCACATGGCTTTGATGACATTCATCAACAGAAACTGAGAGCTGGTCCTACCAGTATTAGAAAAAGTGGAGAGAATAATTAGAAAGGATCCTATTACTTAGGATGACCGCTTTCATTACAGTACCTTGGCAGCTTTATTAACCTTGTCTTCATTTTCTCTTTCATACACAAAGACTGAGGCAAGCTTGCCATCCTGCAGCACAGCTGGGTAAATTCTGAGTCCACTTGGTAAGGTAAATGGCTGTTTTTCTAGTTTGTTGTTCTTTAAAGTGCTGTTCTCCGAGCCCATCACTTGCAAAATCAGGCCGTTGTGGAGGTTCACCTGTGCTAGCAAACAGGCCTGCAGGTAAAGAGAGATTTTTCAAACTTATTTTATCCCAACAGGCCAGCACTAGTGATTCCAGCACCTGCTGTTCCATTGGATGCACCTGGTGTGGCTGAGCAGCAGTGGAGGTGAATTTTGCCCAGTTTTACCAAGTATATTATGCAACAAGTGAAATTTGCCTGTACAACACCTTAAGGAAAATAGGCCATTATGGCTCCTAATTTTCATTATAACTTTACCTAGTGAAATACTTAGATCAAGAGACATAGATGACCCAGTAGTGGAGTGGTTTACCTCTTCTTAAACCAGACACAGATGTGGAGACTGAAATCTCCACTGTCACGTAGCTGTAGAGCTCATGGTAAGTATCTGCGAGACAAATCACCATCACTAATGTCATGTATTTTTCTGGACAGAAAACAAGGATTGAAATATGCTCTTACTCTATGGAAAAGGATGGAAACATTACTGGGGTCTTGTGCTTTAGATTGCTTTTAGCTGCTGGTGCTTTATCTGTTGAATAGCTAAAGGCCTCGGTCTCCTGAGATACCAAGTGGAATGTTTTTGCAAGCATGTCATTTCCTTTACAAAATTCTCAGCTTTTGATTTTGATCTTCCTCTAAAACTAGACAGAAATGCTGGCTCACAAATAAGGCAACAGATTGTTATTTCTTCATGACCGTTTCACACTTTGCAAAGTGGATGTTTGCAAAGCGTGAAACCGTCATGAAGAAATAACAATGTGTTGCCTTACATCCAAGGCAGCTCAAAGTCCAGGTCTTACACAGAACTGCCTGATCTGTTTTGTTTTTTTTATAAAGAACAGACAGAATTCTGCATATTCTTCTTGCTGAGATGTAACCATTTTAACATACAGACTGAACTATCAGCGTCCCTTGGAAGACTGGAACATAGTCCACTTCAACTGTTTTTCTCAGTGCAACACACAATCTTCCAGCTTTTACAAATCAGCTGAAAAAGTAGAGAGGTGGTAGATGGAGAGGCCACTTTTTTATATGCAGAAAGGGGCCACTTTTTAGACCATTTATACAGTGAAAATAATTCCTCCAGAAACACAGGAAATACAGTATCAAACAGGAAAGTGTTTCTTTAAATAGAAATGCAAAATTCAAGAACGTTTGGTTCAGAGATGATACCTTTTATTAAACCAACTAAGAAGTCTAAAAAAAATTATCTTTTTCTGCAAGGTTTCAGGCGCACATGCCCTTCCTCAGGCTCAGGGAAAAGTAAAGATGGTAAAAAGTCCCACAGGTAGAAACAAACTCTTTAAATAGGGCACTTGAGTCATTTAGGCCAAACTCAGTCCCCCTTTAAAACAAGATATTTGCTTAAGAAACGCACACATTTTCAATTTTTTTCATCTCATACCTAGCATTTGATCTGTTAAAGGCAAAATAACACTGAATAATAAAAGTTAATCTGCATGCATATACCTAAAGCCTCTTAATAACTTGTTACATATTTGTATCATAGACACAAATATCTAGACTTCAAAGATATTGAAGAAGTTTGGTAACAGAAATTTGGTACAATTCTCTGGGCTTCTAGCATGAACATAACAGTTTTAGCTAAAAGTAAGCTCACAGGTTGCTGGTAAGCAGAGACAATGATGGGTAAGGAGATCAAGTTCTCTATCCTACTAATTCTCACGCTTAGGTCATAAGAGCCCGAGTCAAAACAAAGCTGTCCCACATAAAGTGTACACCATAGCCTGAGCCCAGTTCCCAGGAAAATATGTATAGCATTTATATTTGTATAGGCTGGCTTGTGTTCCCTTCCCCATGCATCCTCAAAACAGAAAAATAATGTTCCCAAGACCCAGGCACATAATGTACATTGACCAGTATCTCATGGTATCCTACACTGAAGTCAGATGGAAGGATATACGTGCACCTAAAAACAGATGCTCAGCTTCCCAGTGGGACTCGGCCCTTGCATAGTGACTATGGGTCCCAAGATATTCCATACATTATTTATTTATTAGATTTATATACCAGTTTTCCCAACAAAGGCTCTATTTAGGATCAATTTTAATAGTCTTCACACAGTGCTCAGAGGAAGCTACAGAGGAATTAATGGTAACTAAAGAAAAACAGAAAGGGGGGGAAATTGGTTGCAATAAAAAGAATGCAACATTTTACAACACTAAAAAAATATTTTTCTGTAAGCTACATTGCACATACTAAACCCATGGTTACATGGGATGACACACAAAGGTTTAACCAGTCTAAGGTGTGTAGGCCTCCAAACACTGATTTTCAAAGGAAGACTTTTTGCTCTTTGCCCTGACTAGAGCAAAATCTAAACTTTCACCTGGGTCACAAATGTTGTTCGAAGTCGAGTCAACAAGCTGTAAACTTAAAAGAACTTGAACATACCTGTTTGCAGAACATGAACTACTGCCTCCAATATTCATGTTTGAGTTAAAGTGTAATTGGCATTTTCCTACAATTTCAGTTTTAACCTTTGTAAGTTTCAACCTTATGTGTTTTTTTTTTTAATTCTGTGGGCTAGGATGGCTGAGATGTTTGTGAACTGACCCATGACTAGGGACTTACTAAATTCACGGTAGAAGTGAGCTGCATGGCAGCTCCTTTAATCTTGCAGGTTCCCTCCCCCCACCCCAGTTGCAGACTGGCTGAGGGACCCTGGCTTTTGGGACTGACTGGCCCCTCTGCTAATCAGCTGGGGGGTAGGGGGCATGTTAGGGAACCTGCAAAACTAAAGGAGCTGCCATGTATCCAATTTCCACCATGAATTTGGTAGATCCCTACTAATGACCATTCATCAGACTCATAGGTCTCTTGACTGCAACAATATCTATGGAGTTTTAAAGCCCATGACTATGGAAATGAGATGGTTCTTCATTTACACAAAGGCAAACTACTCGGGCCTTGCTGGATTATGCTAGTGACCTCCGAAGAAGCCCATCTCATTTTGCTTTAACAAGGGACTCCCGGTAAGTTCCAAAGGGAAGAAACTAGCCAGAGCATAAGGAAGAAAAGCCACCTCATTTCTGGCTGCTCAGGCTTTTTTGCCTGCAATAGTTCCTAGCCTTTGGCTACATTATGCCATCAGCCCTAACAAAAAAGGCCTCAGCTTGTCCCACCCTTGCAGCTGGCTACCAAGGGCTGAGAGGTCTGGTGACATACAAATACCTACAAATCAACATTTTCAAGTATGTGATCTATGATGAATCAGCAGTCTGTCAATGTTCAAATAACCAAGCCAAGAAGCTAATCTTTTCAACCATGTATCAGCTACCTAAAAGTGATAAAACTACCAAACCATCCTACACAAGTATCACCCTTTTTTGGTTGTCTTTTCTAATTTTTATTCATTGAGGGCTGTTTATGCCAACATACTTTCACATATACTTTTTTCCCTTTAACACCAGCAAGTAGCTGGTAGTATATGCAATGCACACCCAAAGGAGTACACATGAATATAACTCAAAGATGAGATGGTGCCTATAAAATAGTTAATCAAGTACTTAAGACAGCCCTCATTTAAACAACTTTTCTGCCTAGAAGAGCACACATGTATTACATGGGTCAGCCTGGTATGTTTAATCTTGAGAAATCAGGTTATTTTCACTTAAATCTGTTATCTGAATATAACATATAACAAACTGCATCATACTGACTTGGAATGTTTTAGGTAATCCTGGATAAGGGGATGCAGGGAAAGACAGACTCTTACCTTACCAGAATTAATTTGGGCATACTGCCTTACTTAGAATCTGAACTATAGTTCCGACTTCGGCTTCAACCTGAGCGTTATCTGATCTTCCCTATAGCAGCAGTTTGACTGAAAAATATATCAGCTGGTACTGAAATTGATAACGGTCTGTTAGTTGTGGAGTTAATAGCTATAAAAGACAGCTACCCTTGTAGATTAGAGTCAGCTCCTGAAAAATTGTTGGTTTATGTAATACTGTTGAACCAACCTATTAATTGGCCTACTTTGATATTAGCCCACTTAATTCTGATTTGGTTCGTTTCTGCGTATATACTTTTGAGCTATTTACCTACCACAGAAAACTGGAATCCTGTCTTAGATCTTCCCCAGATGTCAGGATGCTGGACCTGATGTGTCTTGGAGTAAATATATGTAGAAGAGGTAACACGTGAGCCCAGGTAGTGGTGACCCAGATAACTGTTCTCCTCACAGATCCATAACCAGTGCCTGAACAACATCCCTGCTTTGGGAATGACCATGGATTGACATATTGGCAGTTTCCTTCTGTAAGTGGTGCAGGTTCCAGAACTTCAGAGGCTTGGGGACGGTGGATACGGGTCAGTCAGCGTAACAGCTGACCAGTTCCCCACAGTACCTCTAGATGCTTCACATGGCACAGATCCAAGATCACTGTGAATTATACAGGCTGCTTGCCACTTGTGAGCAACAAAGACATTTCATGTATCCAACACACCACCATGGAGAGAGAGAACCAGTCTTTGAGACAGACAAGCCTGTAACTTTCATAAGTGTTACAGGAATTGGTTTTTCAAGTGATCTGCCACTAACAGCTCCCCATCATCAGCCCATTACAAACATTAATACCCTTGAACATCTCCCTGTTTTGGTGGGAAGGGTCACCTGTGAACTCATTTCCTTGAATTTTTGGTTTCTGGGTGGCTCTTATTTGCTCACCCCATCCCCCGCCCCCCAAAATAATCCTCCCCATGAGTCGATACAGCAGGATACACACACCTCACCTCACCAGTATTCTCCTCTGACTGAGCACCAACATGGCCTCATGACCAAAAATGCTCAGGAGGTGTGTGGTGGGTTTCTTTCTTTCTTTTTATTTTTTTTTTTGGGGGGGGGGGGGAGGGGGCAGGTTGCTTCTTGCCCTGGGCTCCCTGCCTGATTCACTGCTCTGCTTTCTGCTTCCTCCCATTTGCTGCTGTGCTACCTGTCCCCTCCCTCATCTGCTGTGTGCCACACAGAAGCTACCCATGTGACTTGT